TTACAAGATCCTCTGCCAAAGAGTTCCACAGGTTGACTGATCTGATCAACAGGAAAATGTGTTGACCTTCAAAATTATCAGGAACTTTAAAACAAGTGTGACAATTACAAAAAGATGCCAAAAGGATATGTAAAATTCTAAAACTAATTTTAAAATGTGCCATGGTAGAAGTGCATCCAAATCAATTGTCAACACATGCCTTGTATTGTGCAAAGAAATACATCAGTGATATTCTCAGTTAAAAACTATTTGTTTTTAAAACACATGTGTTATTCACTGGTTTCAGAGTAGCAGCCGTGTTAGTCTGTATCCGCAAAAAGAACAGGAGTACTTGTGGCACCTTAGAAACTAACAAATTTATTAGCGCATAAGCTGAGATTCTTGAAGTTCAGTTCTTCCTTTCCAGAAATCCACTAGCTAAAAGACTTTTTATACAGCTGGCTTGCTAGTTATCATCATCAACAACAGAGATAAGCTATTCAGGCTTAAAATGTTAAAAATATTTGGAACTGTATGAACAGCTAACCTTGACAGATCAGATCAGACTCTACCACATTCCAGTCCACATCAAGAAAAACATAGCTGGAATATTATTTTTATTTATTGGTTGAATTATGCATTTGATTTAAACTGCTATCCTGCACTACGGACTGGAGTACTACCAAGTTTGGGGTGGGCGACAGTTAGCTGTATTTCAAAGCTGAATGGGATCTACAAAACAAACAGTTATTAAAAAAATGTGTTTTCCATTCCAAAATTGGTCACAGAAAGTGAACAAGGCCATCATATGTACCTCGAACATTCTTGTCTTCTGTATGCATCATGGGAAACTGATCTGTGGCTGGAAGATAAAAGTATCTTGGACTCTAAACACATATTAAAGTGAAAATATAGTCAAGAATAACATCCACCTATTGGACGTCCATGCTACTGTTCAACTATGATTTCTGCAGTACAATAATTTCACTGCTAAATACCATAATGGTAGTGTTTTATATATTATTTTACTGTACCGTATACCTTCCTATGTGCTGCCACCTAAACATGAGACAAGCTCCCCAAACCTATTCAACCAAGCCACCTCTCTCACCTCATTTACATCCATCCTAAAAGCTCGATTCTGCCACAAAGCCAAGGGGACAGCTTTACAGTCCCTGATATCTAACCACCAGATAGTGATCAAACCAACAGACAAAGGGGGTGCCATTATAGTGCTCAACCATGAAGACTACATTAATGAGACCAACTGACAACTGTCTGACACCATCTAGTATATGGAATTCAAAGAAGACCCCACACCACAATTTACCCAGGAATTTAAGAATATCATCAAATCTTTCCCCAAACAACTCCAAGAAACACTCTACAAACTCGTCCCCCACAAACCCACCCCAAGATCCTTCGACCAGGGAACCCAGGCAGACTCATCATAGCTGGCCACGGCACTCTCACTGAAGAAATATCGGCACTCATAGAACCCATCCTCAAACCACTCACTACACAAAGGGCCATCTCCCTCCAGGACACAACTGACTTCTTCCACAAACTCTGCAATGTTAACCATCTCCCTCAGAATACCATCCTCACCACCATGGGTGTCACTTCCCGATATACCAACATCCCTCACAATGACGGCATCGCTGCCTGCCTCAAATATTTACAAGACAACTGTGGCACTCTACTTTTCCCAGACCTGAAGAAGAGCTCTGTGTAAGCTTGAATGCTTGTCTCTCTCATCAACAGAAGCTGGTCCAATAAGACATATTACCTCACCCACCTTGTCTTATGAAGCCTATGAAGCATTAAAAGAAACACAGAGAAACTAATTTAAAGAAACTATGTAGATATGACCATGCTTTATTGATTAACTGTAAGATATTACTGTAAACTTTGTCCTTCCTCTCCCACCCCACTTTCCTGGTCTGTTTATGACACTCACTTATCACATCCTGTCAGACTTAGACTCTCTTTGTTACTTATTTGAGTGCACAAAAGTGTGCATTGAAAATAATAATTAATATTATTGTTGACTGTGCAAATATTACGACTCCTGTTCATTACTGTTTAGGAAGATCAACCGTAATACTTCACAAGAAACTGAGCTATAAGGCCACACACTCTTCAGAATGTTTTGATGACATCACAGTGAACACAGAAAGAAAACTGAACGGTTTCTGATGGCAGACTAATCCTGAGATGTATTTTTTATGCAAGTCATAGTCTTCCTCTCCTGTGTGAAGCAACTACCATATTTTACCTAAAAGGTAGATGTTTAATTAAAATACACATTATATACCTATTTATATAGATCACTCATTGTACTTAGTCACCTAACAGTATCTACAACTTAATTAAATCAAACAGAAGCATCTATACTAGACAGTCCAGTCATTACTGTTATTGTTGCCCAACGGCAACATTCATTGACCAGCCCAGAACAAAATTCTAAACTAAATGCCTGTCTAAGCAGGTGCACCTTAGTATGACGTGAAAGCAGTAATATACCAACTCCAGCAAACAAGCAGAATAAGAGAGTTCCATAGGTGAGGGAAGGACAGGTATTGAGAAGACCCTACAATCTCTCCCATAGTGTTGTATCCTAAGACCTGACTAAAGGAACACTCAAGCTTCTCTTAACAGCATGGGCAAACAATAGGGAAAGAGAGAGTTTCTCAAGTAGCTGAATTTCAGACCATTCAAGGCTCACCTTACATTGCTCCCTGAAGCAAATGCTACCATAAAAAGTTGTCTGGGTTCATATGTAACACTTTAAAAAGCCATATTTGACAGCTATGTTGTCATAACTGTGAAATACAGACCTTAGATTACTTCAGAGCTGTAAAATATGATTTATTTTCCCTACTAGCTGGCAGTGGGAATTTTGCCACATCCATTATACAGTGTATATAATAAGTAACAGAAGCCTATGAATTATGGGCCTGTAATTCAACCGAGGGGTTCCAGGAATGTCAAACCAGAAAAGCAAAGCCTAAGTGGTTCATGTATTTACCTGAACACTGAGATGGAATTACAACTCTGTCATCCAAAAGTTATCTTTTTCCCCCCTCCTAACACTGCATGAATCAATTTAAAAAAAAAAAATCCTTCCTCCTTCCTTTTCCCTATACTCTCATCCTGCCTCTTATCCCTTCCTTCCTGCTCTCGTTATACCTCTTCCACTCTTTTCAAATCGCTGCTGGAGAAGCTTCAGGTGAAACACTACGGCTCCCACCTGTTCTTGGGATGCCATAAAATTTCAGAGCAGCAGCAGAGCCTGACTAGAGTTTGCTACTTTTTGTTAACAGTGTTTTCACAGTTCCTGGATGTGACAATACCTGTTGGATTCACGCAGGACCTCAAACACTCCCAGGAAATAGGACCAACCATGTTCTGAGGAAAACGTAAGACACAGAAACCATGAAACCCATGGAACATTTCATCCACATTTATCAAAGGTGGAGGCTACTATTACTGTCTGTGTCCCACCACTGGCAAAGAGAATCTCGTTGCCCTGAAAGCTAAATGTGCAGATGTTTCAGTAGAACTTTATCACATTCAGGATAAAAAGACATTTTTAAAGGCTACAACGGAAAGAGAGAGAGAGTGCAGTTTTTGTTTAGATAGGAGACTACTGCCTCTTCAGTTAATATAGTGGCTTTCAGAGGACAAAATGCCCTCAACCTGCATCTGTGGGCTCTATATCTCACTGTTGGTCCTTTTTTCACCGAGCAGATTAATGAGTAATAGCTTTCCATAATGAACTCCAACACCAGTCAATATGTACATGCTAACGTGACTCTAAGGTCCACAACTATTGCATTTTATATAAAGAAAACAGTTTTGAAAGAGAGCCTCAAAATAAAATCCTATCAATAAATATAACTTATGGTAATCATTATGCTGATTAGTTGTTTTAATCTGAGGATTCTGGAAATTATTTCAAGTTTCAGTATATAAAATTGTCCATTGAAAGCAGATTTAGACATTCTTTGCGTAAGATACAGCGGTTAGTGTTAACATGCAACCAGAAACTTCATGGAGGCAAGTAAACTTACTTCCTCTTCTTTGGGCTCACCTCCAAAATGCTGCTTTTAATATATGATGTACGAACACCCCACAACACTGCTTTTAATATACGCATGAGCCAAAAATGCCCCATGAGAATATTTCCTAGGTCAACATTTTTCATTGTATTATTGTTCATGCCTATATCTATGTGGAAACATAGAACTCCCTACTAGATTTTTAAGGATGGCTGGTAGATATTTTGTGAACAAAATTAAACATGTCCTAATAAACTGTATGAACATACAGTGAAAAAAAGACTTCTTTAACAAGATTCATTTTTCTTTTATTCTTATTATGAATCTTAATCACAGATAAATATACAGCCCCTCTACTTAAAAAGCTTAACAATTGGTTACCATGTAGTGGGTATACTACATAATGGCATGAACTTGCATATAAATTATTAGTATATGAGGATTTTGTATTTAAACAGCCAACATTTTTGTTTGGGGTTGGGGAAAGGGCAATCAAACTAGAACGTTATTGCGGAAAGGAGTCGAGACATTATAACCCATTGAAACTATTATGTTTCTTACCTACTGAAATCGGTTACAATTTTCATTTCAAAACAAGAACATATTTATTGTTGGTTTGGTGGATGGCTTCCCTTCCTCCATCTCATGCCAGAAACACACACACACACACACACACACACACCTGCTCGTCAACATTAAACTCTACTTGCAAGAAAAGCTGCAATAAGCCACAGACTTATTCCAAAATGATCACTTGAAATTTCATCATCAGTTTTCTCAGTTTATATTCAAGTATAGATAGTGCATTATAGCTACATAAAGATACTGCAATTTGTAGGGTCTACATATGAGCCTCTTGTAAATGTAGATTAATAGAAGCTAATTTTATTTTCAAGTATTTTGAAAGACAAATGAATTTTTTAGGGTAAATTTCCATTTTTCCAATGTTTCTTTTACCTGAGCCACTATAAGATGAAGAGGAAGGCGTTCGCCTGGAAAAACTTTTCACCGCAAGACTCTGGCCTCGCTGTTTTCGCCGCCAAGCTGTCCGGCATTTGGAGTCTATGCTCTGCTTGATCCGGTACCAGTCGGACTCTGTAATTCCAAATTTATAGAAAAGGTGACCTAGAAAGAGGAAAAAACACACAAAAGGATAGGACACAATATAAATCCTCATTCTGTGTGAAATGCACTTATCTACATGGGGGCTGCAAGGACTCTCACACATTCAAGAAGATGAAGGCATTATATGAAATAGCATCTGTTGATAAGTGCCCAAAGTCACTTCAAGGAACATGAGATGCTCGATGGCAGAGATTATCAAAACTGCAGTTGTGTGCAATTACAGCAACCATCACACAAATTACCATACACAAATCAAGTAACTGTATGTGTGCAAAATGATCAGTTGTGTATTTAACTGGCCACCAGTATATGCAATTTCCCAATTTGCATGCGCATTTGTGGAAATGGCACCATCAAGTTTGGGATGCACAGTACTGAAAATTTGATAGATGAGTTGCTCCTTGGCCAAAAGTAGACAAAACTATATTTTAACCTCCCCTACAGTCACAATTTCTATAAAACTAATGGTGACTAGATGCCAGGACTAATTCTCTAACAGGACTGATATATAAGCTAAAGTGGGGGGGCTGTCTTTTTTTTAAAAAAAGCCTTCTAGAGCAGTGTTTTTCAAAGTATGGATCACAAGCCAGTACTGGGTCACAGAATGTCAGACACTGGGTCACCTTGCTGATTCAAATTATAACGATCGTGGCCGCGCAGCAGGGACCTGGAGAGAACAGAGGTAGGGGGTGGATGTGAACTGGGGAGGGGAGCAAGTTGGGGCTTGCAGGGCTGCTGCAAGCCTCTCCCCTGGCCCCAGAGCTCACTGCTGCCAGCCAAGAGAGAAGGACCCTTTCCCCAGAACGCTGTGCTTCCTGACAGCAGAGGGAGAGAGAGGCCCCGCCCCCAGAGCTAGCTGCTGCTGGCAGGGAGAGGGCTGGGGGGAGTCCTCTGGCCCCAGCCCTGGGGCAGCCTGCCTGCACCCCAAACTCCTCATCGCTGGCCCCACCACAGAACCTGACCCCCCGGCCAGAGCCCTCACCCCACCCCATCCCAACCCTCTGCCCCAGCCCTGAGCCCCCTCCTGCATCCTGAACCCCTCTGCCCCAGCCCCGCCCTGCAGGCCTCACCCCCAAACAGAAACCTCATCCCCACACCCTACCCTCTGCCCTACGCTGGGCCACCTCCCACACTCCTTACCATAGGCATACTAGGCTAGTGTCTAATGTTGCATAGACAATCCAGGAAGTTTTTGGAAAGCGTAGGGGACAATTTCCTGGCGCAAGTGCTAGAGGAGCCAACTAGGGGGGGGCGCTTTTCTTGACCTGCTGCTCACAAACCGGGTAGAATTAGTGGGGGAAGCAAAAGTGGATGGGAATCTGGGAGGCAGTGACCATGAGTTGGTTGAGTTCAGGATCCTGACACAGGGAAGAAAGGTAAGCAGCACGATACGGACCCTGGACTTCAGGAAAGCAGACTTCGACTCCCTCAGGGAACGGATGGCCAGGATCCCCTGGGGGACTAACTTGAAGGGGAAAGGAGTCCAGGAGAGCTGGCTGTATTTCAAGGAATCCCTGTTGAGGTTCCAGGGACAAACCATCCCGATGAGTCGAAAGAATAGTAAATATGGCAGGCGACCAGCTTGGCTTAATGGTGAAATCTTAGCGGATCTTAAACATAAAAAAGAAGCTTACAAGAAGTGGAAGGTTGGACATATGACCAGGGAAGAGTATAAAAATATTGCTCGGGCATGTAGGAATGATATCAGGAGGGCCAAATCGCACCTGGAGCTGCAGCTAGCCAGAGATGTCAAGAGTAACAAGAAGGGTTTCTTCAGGTATGTTGGCAACAAGAAGAAAGCCAAGGAATGTGTGGGCCCCTTACTGAATGAGGGAGGCAAACTAGTGACAGAGGATGTGGAAAAAGCTAATGTACTCAATGCTTTTTTTTGCCTCTGTTTTCACTAACAAGGTTAGCTCCCAGACTGCTACGCTGGGCATCACAAAATGGGGAAGAGATGGACAGCCCTCTGTGGAGATAGAGGTGGTTAGGGACTATTTAGAAAAGCTGGACGTGCACAAGTCCATGGGGCCGGACGAGTTGCATCCGAGAGTGCTGAAGGAACTGGCGGCTGTGATTGCAGAGCCATTGGCCATTATCTTTGAAAACTCGTGGCGAACCGGGGAAGTCCCGGATGACTGGAAAAAGGCTAATGTAGTGCCAATCTTTAAAAAAGGGAAGAAGGAGGATCCTGGGAACTACAGGCCAGTCAGCCTCACTTCAGTCCCTGGAAAAATCATGGAGCAGGTCCTCAAAGAATCAATCCTGAAGCACTTGCATGAGAGGAAAGTGATCAGGAACAGCCAGCATGGATTCACCAAGGGAAGGTCATGCCTGACTAATCTAATCGCCTTCTATGATGAGATTACTGGTTCTGTGGATGAAGGGAAAGCAGTGGATGTATTGTTTCTTGACTTTAGCAAAGCTTTTGACACGGTCTCCCACAGTATTCTTGTCAGCAAGTTAAGGAAGTATGGGCTGGATGAATGCACTACAAGGTGGGTAGAAAGCTGGCTAGATTGTCGGGCTCAACGGGTAGTTATCAATGGCTCCATGTCTAGTTGGCAGCCGGTATCAAGTGGAGTGCCCCAAGGGTCGGTCCTGGGGCCGGTTTTGTTCAATATCTTCATAAATGATCTGGAGGATGGTGTGGATTGCACTCTCAGCAAATTTGCGGATGATACTAAACTGGGAGGAGTGGTAGATACGCTGGAGGGGAGGGATAGGATACAGAAGGACCTAGACAAATTGGAGGATTGGGCCAAAAGAAATCTGATGAGGTTCAATAAGGATAAGTGCAGGGTCCTGCACTTAGGACGGAAGAACCCAATGCACAGCTACAGACTAGGGACCGAATGGCTAGGCAGCAGTTCTGCGGAAAAGGACCTAGGGGTGACAGTGGACGAGAAGCTGGATATGAGTCAGCAGTGTGCCCTTGTTGCCAAGAAGGCCAATGGCATTTTGGGATGTATAAGTAGGGGCATAGCGAGCAGATCGAGGGACGTGATCGTTCCCCTCTATTCGACATTGGTGAGGCCTCATCTGGAGTACTGTGTCCAGTTTTGGGCCCCACACTACAAGAAGGATGTGGATAAATTGGAGAGAGTCCAGCGAAGGGCAACAAAAATGATTAGGGGTCTGGAACACATGACTTATGAGGAGAGGCTGAGGGAGCTGGGATTGTTTAGCCTGCAGAAGAGAAGAATGAGGGGGGATTTGATAGCTGCTTTCAACTACCTGAAAGGGGGTTCCAAAGAGGATGGCTCTAGACTGTTCTCAATGGTATCAGATGACAGAACGAGGAGTAATGGTCTCAAGCTGCAGTGGGGGAGGTTTAGATTGGATATTAGGAAAAACTTTTTCACTAAGAGGGTGGTGAAACACTGGAATGCGTTACCTAGGGAGGTGGTAGAATCTCCTTCCTTAGAGGTTTTTAAGGTCAGGCTTGACAAAGCCCTGGCTGGGATGATTTAACTGGGAATTGGTCCTGCTTCGAGCAGGGGGTTGGACTAGATGACCTTCTGGGGTCCCTTCCAACCCTTATATTCTATGATTCTATGATTCTATGGTTAGTTATGTAAAGTGGGCTAAAGCTGGAATGTATTGCAGTACTATGATTTTATGAAAACTCTAGTCAAAAGATACAATTATGTTGGGTCACGGGCATCAACAATTTTCCTCAACTGGGTCACGAGGAAAAAAATTTGAAAACCAATGTTCTAGAGCATGTCTGCTGATTCTTCAAAACCACCTAACTATGAATTGCAAGATGAAGGAAGTGACCTTTTGAAGGTATTCCTAGTGCTATCAAGTCAGGTCATTCTAAGGAAGCTTTTCTACACTTTCCTAATATAGCCGTTTCAACAGAGTATTTTGGTTTCCCCATCCACTGTGTAAAAATAAAAGGATCCTGTGAGTTAAGCTGCACAAAGATTTTCCAGTGAAACTCATTGGTTTGGTTTTGTTGCAAACTCAGTCCAGGTTCACAAGCTTTGCAGTAAACATGGGTCTGGTTTCAAGAAAAACAGAAGAAGCAAGCACCAAACATAGGGTTGTGTTTCAACTGTAACAGAAATGGTTTCAGCTTCCAGGACAGTATGGTTAAAAATAATGGAAAAGAAATACATAAGGCATTATCAGCATTTTCACTAGTTCCCAATACAGCATCGCCAGTTCTCATGATTTTATTGCAAGTCTTGCAATATTTGTTGTTTTTCTTTAAGCCCCAGTTGCCTGAAGTCATCTGATCATATGGTAATCTCAGCTTTCATTAAAAAAAAAAGAAAAGAAGAAGAAGAAGAAGAAGAAGCTTCTAGCCCTCACGGTTGAAGACAAAAAGCTTGAAAGAATAAACCCTAAGGTTTCAAAAACTATAAGGCAAAAAAAGGTATGTATATTTTCTTTAAAATGTCATGATTTTGAGGGGCTGAGTCATGATTAAACTTTTGGGTTTGGCAATATTGCAATTAAATCCCATCTAACTACCTTAATGATGAAAGAGTTATGTTACAAAACCCACAACTACGACTTAGTCCAATTTCTGATCGAAAATTGAGTTGGCTGCTTCTCAGTTAAACCAATCAATAGGCCCAGCAACACAGAACGGAGTTTTCAATTCATCTCAGCTGACTATAAGGTCACTCAAAATTCCTAGGAAAGACAACCATTTTTGTTAACCAATAAAGCTCTCTTTAGGCTTCCTTGGTGCTTTTTATTTTATCGGCCTGTTCACAGGGCTTTGCTAAGTGAAAGATTGCTAATAATATATTTAACTGAATATCCCAATCTAATTGGCTCAACATGTAAAAGATTATTTTGAGTCTAAATTTCTGGTTTTTAATATAAAGTTGTTTCCTATGCCCCCTCTCTTGACACAAATTGTCTCTCTTCTCAACAACCAGCTAGTTTTACCATCAAGCGTTCCATTAAGACCCTGATCCTGTGAAGTACTTAAACATGTGCTTAACTTCAAGCTTTCGCGTAGTCCCAGTGAAATCATG